AAAAACCTACAGCAAATATATGTCCTTAAAATCAGGACTAAGACAAAGTTACATGCTATCATTGCTTTTATCCAATGTTATACAGAAGGTTCTGGTCGGCAAGACACGAAATAAAAAGAAAAAGGATTCAAAAGCAAAAACCAAAGCAAAGGCATTATTTGCACATGAGTGTGATATTGTAAGTTCTAGCCAGCACAGTAAGTCAAGAAATAACAGGAATAGAGAACTGGAAAGGAAATACTATGTGCAAAAGATTATCTATATTAAAAAATTCCAATAGAATTCCTGGATAAATTAGTAGAATAAGAAGCATTAGCAAAGTTGTTGGATACAAACATTGACTGCAACAGAGAGAAACAAAAAAATTGGTTGCTACAGCAATACTGAGAAAATGAAATAAAAAGAAATTACTTAAAATAGAATCTACCGTAGCCAACCTCTAAGACTGTGATTCTTGCCTCCTGGAATTCATACCCCTGTGCAATCCCCTCCCACACTGAATAGGGCTGACCTGTGTAACCATTAGAATTGCAGATGCAGTGTGGCTCCCGAGGCTAGGTCATAAAAGACACTGTGGCTCCTGCCTTGCTCTCCTGGGTCACTTGTTGTGGGGGAAGCCAGCCAGTGAGTTGTGAAGATGAACACTGGTAGCCTTATGGAGAAATCCAAGTTGTGAGAATCTGAGGCCTCCTTCCAAACGCTAGCACTGACCTGTCAGTCACATGAATGAGCTATTTTGGAATCGGATCTTCCAACCCCAGTCAAGCCTTCAGATGACTGCAGCCCTGGCTGACATAGTGGACTGCAACCTCGTAAGTCCCTGAGTTGGAATTATCCAGCTAAGCTCTTCCCAAATTCCTGACCCACAGGAACTATGAAATAATAAATGTTGATTGTTGTTTTAAGTCACTAAGTTTTGAGGGTGTAATTTGTTACACAGCAACAGATAACTAATACAATATTCAAGGAATAACTGTAATGAAAGATATGAAAGATTTATATGAAGAAAATTAAACTTCACCGAAAAATATATAAGAAGACCTAGAGAAGCTATACATACCTATGTAACTTTTAAAAGATTACATAGTCACGTTGTAATCTTTAAAATATCACATTGGTATTTTCAATCTAGCACTATCTTTAATCTTACATATTTAGGTATATTTTATGTTACTTTTTAACCCCTCCCTATTTTCTTTTCTAATCCAATGAGCCATGTAATCATTTGCTAGGATGGTCTGGTATCTGGACAGGGATGGGAAGAGGATTTGCCACTTTAAGGCAAAAGAATATGCCTAGAAGAGACAGAGTAAAATTAAGCTTCTTAGAAATGAGAGTCCTTTATCTGGTTCCTATTGTCTCATTGTTTGTAAAAACCAGGAAGACTTAAATAAAATAATTCCTTTTAGTGATGCATTAGTGTATTAAATGTCGCTAACATCCCAGTCTGAGTTCATATTCTCTGTAGTTCTAAAGAAGGTGGTCTCCAGATGTCAGCACTCAGGAATGAATAATGAGAAAACCTGCTTTCTCTCCAGAAGCTGTTGGTTTTCAGAATACAAGTGAATGACTAAAAAAAAAAGAAAAAAAAAGAAAAAAAGAATGACTCACAAATCATATGAAGCTTTATTTGACAACTGAAGAGGAAATTGGTCTTAAGATGTCTACTGCAATCCCTGCACCCTTGTTAGAGGCCTCCCTCTCATTCAATTCTCACAACTTTCCTGTGCAATAGATACTCTTAGTTACTCTTGCTTTATTACTGGGGAAATGGAGGCTCAGAGACGTAAAATAATGTGCCCAAGTTCACACGGCTGGGAGGAAAGGGAAGCAGGGGTTAAACATCCGTCTCTTGAACTACAAAGCGTTTGCTCTTTCCACTGTATTCTTCCGCCTTGTATGGAAACTGCCTTCTAAATGGGGAGATATCAACAATGTGCCAGAGACCTCCGATCATCTACTCCAATATCCTATCTTGTTTTACAGATCTGAACACACTGAGGCCCAGAGAGCAAATGGACTTCTCTAAAATCACCCAGATATTTGGAGACACAGCAAGGGTGACAACAGGAGGCACTTCAAATCACACAGAAAGCACTGATGTATTAGGAGAAGCTGGAGAATAGCACTACGGAATCTGGAGAAATGATGGTAATTTTGAGCCAGAGGCAGTGGTGGTTGAGCTGAGCTTTTAAAGTAAGAGAGGGTGTTGGATTCACAGGGCAGCAGGAAACGGAAACCACTGGTGGGGCCAGTATGAGCTGATGCGAGCCTGTCACCAGAGTTCAGCAAGAAACATGTGGTTCCTTCAGAGACACAGAGGAAGAACTGAGGGTTGTTAGTTGGGAGGGGGTGGGGATGAAGGAGAAGGGGAAGGGATGAGACAATACAAATTAGTAATTGT